CCCTTTCGTTTATCAAACCCATTTTATATAGCAAAATTGTCTCATACATCTATATAATTAACAAAATACCACATATATACCTCAAATATACTGTTTGATAAAGTTTAAAACTAAAAATTGAACACTGAAAATTAAGTATTGAAAACTGGATATTGAATTTTTTAAGTTGAAAAGTTATTTGATAAAAATTTAAGTGCTGAATTAAAAATAAGTTGTTTGATATGTATAAAATCAAATTTGAAATTTATTATTTTTAAATTATATATTTTAATTTTTATATTGTGATGATGTTGGTAGTAGTGGTGGCAATGGCATAGTGATGGTAGTGGTGGTGGTGGTAGCAGTAACGGTAGTGATAGTAGTAGTGACATGGCGGTGGTGGTGATGGTTGTAGCGATGATGTTGGTAGTAAATGATGGTGGTGTTTATGACAATAATGACAATGGTGATGAAGGTGATGATAGTAGTGTCAAGAACTTTTTTTTTTTTTTTTATCTTCAAAGTAAAAAACTCATTAAAAACATGAAAATTAAAGGTACAAGAAAAAAAGATGATCGAAAGAGATTCGAAGAGTGCAAACTCTCCTACTACTACAACTCACATCCTTACAACCAGTCTCTCAACCTCACAATTCTTATTTTTTAAAATTAAAAAAATAAATAAATAACAAATCAAACTCTTGAGCCCCACACCTACCAACATCCTACCACACTGAAAGGCTTGTGATTGATTATAGTGATTGATTATGAGTAATTGTAGTGTTAAAACCAACAAATTATCAAATTAAAGTTATTTACATCCTATTGTAATATTTAGTTATATCTAAAAGTAGTAATGATTATAATCCATTATTTGTAAGAAAATTTCCCAGTTTCTCTCAATTTTGTGAAAATCAAAATTTTTAACTCAAAATTGTGAATTTATATCTCAAAATGGATAAATATCAATTTAAAATTGAGAAATTTTATTGTAAAACTGAGAAAGTTCTCAGCTCACCAAATAAAGAATTTCTCGGATTCCTCATTTTTTAATTATTCATTGAGCAGTCAATTAAAAATTAAAATAAATGAGAGATCTCTCTCTTTCATGAACATAAATTTTAAAATTTCAAAAGTTTCATTGTTTTCTAAGTTTCAAATTATATATATATATATATATATTTACAAACTAACATAATTTTTAAAATTTTAAAAGTTTTATTTTCTCAATTTCACACAATGGGGAAATTTTGTAATTTGACCAAACAGAGAATTTCTCATTTTCAAAATTTTAATGTAAAAATCAATTGAAAAATAAGAAAAATTTGTCTAGGGAAATTTTTAAGATTAAAAATAAATGAAATAGCTCTCAGTAGAATAATCAAGATTAGAAAATGTAATCACTTTTTAGGAAGTGAATAACTTTTTTATGTACATAGATTAATAATGTAAGTGGAGAAGTTCATGTTTAAGAGGTAGTTTGAGATTCTATTTTGGGGAAAAAAATTTAAGCTCCCTGATATTAAGATTTTATAGGATAAAGGACACGTAATATTTTCATAGTGATTGGGGTCCCTCAACATTTTTTCAAAGAAATTTCAAAACACGGACAAATTTCTGTAAATTGAAATTTCTGTGGTTTGCTCAATTTCTCTGATTTTCTCTGTATTTTGAAATTTTTCTGGATTGAATTTTCGCTGATTTGCTCACAAATTTCTTTGTGATTTGCTCACAATTTTCTCTGTGTTTTGACCAATTTTCTCTAGTTTGCTCATAATTTTCTCTATGTTTTAACTAAACCAGAGAAAATAGAGAAAATTATGTCTTTTCACAAAGAAATTTAAACTCTCCAAAGAGAAATTTCACACAAGATAAATTTTGAGAGAAATTTCAGGCAACCTTCAACAAACACATACACAAAAAGAAATTGAGGATTGAAAATACTCTTACTCAAATTTATGCTTGAATCTGAGTTTGTCCACTGGAGTAGTCAAATTGAGTAGAATAACAAACTCATATGAACAAATATATATACAAAGCCCCTCCTATTCAATTTGCATTTGCTTCCTTCCGAGAGAGAGAGAGTGAGAGAGAGAGAGAGATTAATAGTAAGTAAACAACACTCAGTTCAGAGATTGATAAGGAAATAATGGGGATTTAGAGAAGCGGCGAAGCTAGGGGCCTTGACTTGTCAAGGCTCGAATGCCTCGACAATTCCTCTCTTTTCTTTTTTCTTTTTCTTTTTTTTTGGAAGAGTGGTTATGTGTAGGGGTGTGCCAAAAAAGTAGACATCTCACACCAATTCAGCCTGAGTTGGACTGGTTAAGTGATGAAATTGATGCCTTGACAATTCCTCTCTCTTTTTTTTCTTTTTCTTTTTTCTTTCTATTTGTTGGTGTTGGTTTGGTTGTTTTTTTTTTTTTTTTTGAAAGGGTAATTATGTGTAGGAATGTGCCAAAAACTAGACATCCTGCACCACTTCAACCTGGGTTGGACTCGTTGGTTGATAAAATTGACTGATTAATTAGGCTGCTGGTTAAAATTTGTTAATTCCATATAATTTTGTACGAGTCCCTACTAATTGAAATAAAAATATAGTAGGAACTCGTACAAAATTATATGGAATTAACAAATTTTAACCAACAGCCTAACTGATCAGTCAATTTTATCATCTAACCAATCCAACTCAACTCACTCACCTTATCAAACCACGCAGGCTGAGTTGGTGTGGAATCTCTAATTTTTTGGCTCACCCCTATACATAACCACCAAAAATAAATAAATAAATAAATAAATAAAAAGGAAACCAACATAGCCCAACAAAATAAATAAATAAAAGACGAAATCGAAGCATTCAAGCCTCACAATTCGAGGCCCCAAACATTTCCCTTAAAGAAGCATACATACTATGATAATGATGATGAGTTTTCACAGTAGCAATAAACCTGTTCCAAGGGTAATGAATTGCTCTGTTCTTGTTGTTATTGTTGCCGGTTGCTGTGGCAGTGATGGTGATCGCGGCAGTCATGGTGGCGAAAGAGGAGGTTACAGTGGGGAAGAGGAAAAGATGGGAAGTTAAGAGGAGAGAGAATGAGACCGTGGGTATAATATAATGGGTGTGGATGATGAACCTTAGGCTACAAAAGAAAATATTGTGAATCTCTTTGATTACTAAAAGTTGAAGAGAGATGTTAGATTAAATATCTCTTTGTTGTATGATGAAAAAAAAAAAAAGTGAATTAATGGTATGTATAACTTACCTTTTTTTAGTGATTTTTTAATTTTTGACATTTTTTTCTAACTTTTTTAATGATTGGTCTTTTTCTTTTTAAAGTTTTTTTGACATTTTTAACCTAAAAGATTAAGTTTCTAAACGAGGTCTATGCAACATTAACAGATGTGTATAGTAATTTTTTTTCAAAAAAAAAATAAAAATTATCTTTATATAATTTTATATTAATTATAAGCCTTGATTAATAGATCTCGACAAATAAATTTAAAAATATAAATTTAATAAAAATGTAAATGAAAGATATTTGGTAGCAATTTTTTTTTAAAAATAGAAAGTATGGCATGCCAATATGCATCAGTGTGGTTTAGATTGATAATAAATCAAAAGTGTGGAGCTTAAATTGATAATTAAAAACTCAGAGGTTAAAAAAAAATAAAAATTATCTTTATATAATTTTATATTAATTATAAGCCTTGATTAATAGATCTCGACAAATAAATTTAAAAATATAAATTTAATAAAAATGTAAATGAAAGATATTTGGTAGCAAATTTTTTTAAAAAATAGAAAGTATGGCATGCCAATATGCATCAGTGTGGTTTAGATTGATAATAAATCAAAAGTGTGGAGTTTAAATTAATAATTAAAAACTCAGAGGTTAATTTGTTAAAATAAGGGAAAATTATTTATATAAGTCCTATTAAAGAGACTTATGCTACGTATGATCCTACTAAAAAACTTATGTTCCCATAAGTCCTGTGGGAAGTTTGTTGACACATTTACCCTCAATATTAGTTGTTAATATCATAAATAATAATAAAACCATATATAGGAAATTGAATGTTATCATAGATCATATCTATATAAACGTAACGTAGCGTGACACCTACATAAACGTAACGTGACACCTATGATCTATAACGTAACATGACACCTACATAAACGTAACGTGACACCTATAGGAAATTGAATGTTGCCATAGACCATATTTATATGAAACATAACGTGACACCAACATAAACCAGCAACATTTTCACATTCAATTTAAAAAAATAAAAACTCATTAAGTTTGCGAAACACATTTATGTAGGTGTCACGTTACGTTTATGTAGGCGTCACGTTATGTTACGTTTATGTAGGTGTCACGTCACGTTACGTTTATGTAGGATCTTATGGAATACATTCCTATCTAAATAGTGACACCTATAGGAAATTGAATGTTGCCATAGACCATATTTATATGAAACATAACGTGACACCAACATAAACCAGCAACATTTTCACATTCAATTTAAAAAAATAAAAACTCATTAAGTTTGCGAAACGTAACGTGACACGTTACGTTACGTTTATGTAGGTGTCACGTTACGTTTATGTAGGCGTCACGTTATGTTACGTTTATGTAGGCGTCACGTCACGTTACGTTTATGTAGGATCTTATGGAATACATTCTTATCTAAATAGAACTTGAAACTCTATAAGAAATTACACGGGATTTAGTCTACCATAAGTGTCTAAAAAATGACTTATAAATAAGTCTCCCTTAAAATAATTAAACTTTAGGATGAATTTTTTTATATATAATTTCTCCTAGAAAATATAATTTTAAAATAAAATATAATAAAAATTTAACTAATTTGATAAGGATGTTTGATAAGGATATTAGGATTAATCAGTCCACCGAATAAAACACTTGTAGAAATGAGACAGTAGATTAAACTGAAAATGTATTTGTAAATTTTCAAAACCAACAATCAATTAATATTGATTTTCATCAATGTCTTTTGTAGTTTTAAAGGTTAATTTGGGTGGAGATGGAGCAGAAAGGCGGCACACATTAATCAGACTCGCCCAAGGAAGAAGTCAACTAAAAAGTTGTCCAAAGAGGATCTCTCCTCTTGTCAGTCAGAAGAAGTAGCATTATCCATAGACAGGGAAGAGCACGGTATTCATTTCGAAGCAATAAAGAAAGTTGCGTCATCTGGAATGGAATCGGACGAGAAGAAAAAAGCCTCACCTTCGTCTGCGTCAAAGCAAGTCTTTGACAAGGAAGAAGGACTTACTTCATCTTCTCCGGACAAGGAAGAATGCGTAGGGATGATACGAAAAATTGAGGCTTTGACAAGGAAGTTTGACTTAATTCATCTTCTCCGGTCATACCAATCAGAATCAGCTCATCATGTCTGGCTATACCGACCACAATCATTTGACTTTCGCCTGAAATTCGATCAATTACCACAACAACTAAGAGATCTAAAAGCTTTGGTATCAAATAACAATCATGTCAAACATGAAAAATTTCATGTTCAAAAACGCATTAATACTGTCAAAGACAGCATTGAGGAGATATTTCAAGATGTTAAAAGAAACTCGGTCCATGGAGATTCAGGAATTTGGGCTTTTATACCTCAAGAAGAAGATGATATTATGAGCTTAGATGAGAGTTTGACACAAAAAAGCTTTTCCCGTGAAGATTCTGCTAATTGGACTGTCAAACGCCAAGAAGATGATATTATGAAGTCATATGAGGAGAACTTGACAGATAAAACAGAGGTTGGGCTAACGCCTGAAACTAGTGGAGATGAACTTTTGGAAATAGCTATCGATTCTGCTGTTCGCCAAGTTTCAAATTGTATTCAAGATGAAATTCGAAAGATAGAGACTTTCCGGCCCGTTTCAAAACGGAGTGGATATGGAATAATTCAAAAGATTGGGATTTCAGGGCTCGGAGGGGAGAAAGTAGCAAGCGCATTAAAGGATATGCAAATGGTCAGAGACCAGTGCAGTGTTGTCCTCTGCATCTCTGTCTCACGACATCACAGCATCGAAGAGGTTAGGCAGAACATCGCAACACAGACTGGCAGATTAAGATCTCGTAAAACTGATCACACTTCGGAGGGATCGCTAGACCAATATTTGCCTGACAACTTCTTGCTGCTTGTGGATTGCATTGATGGGAAGATAGACCTACATGACTTAAAAATCCCTGATTGTGGATTCCTAGTGCTTACAACTCAATCGCAAAAAGTCCATGAGATAATGGATTTGGATTTGGAGATCAGAATGGAGGATCATCTGTTACCCTGGAAATTATTCTGTAGGAATGTGGGCCAGTCACTTGTTCATTCTTCCTCTGTCATCCAACAAATGGCCGCCCGGTTAGTGAAAGAGTGCCACGGCCATCTGTATGCCATTGTTCTTCTTGCGAAGACCTTGAAAGGTGTGACTGATATTGGTGTGTGGGAATTTGCACTCAAAATTAGCATCACGATCCTCCCACCAGCAGGAATATGGAATGAGCCAAGCATGGTTTCGTGTGTTAAAATTCTTTTGGCATCAGAAGGACAGCATAACAAAACGTTACATTAAAAACTTCACAGATTGCCAGAAATGGAGTGCAGATTCATTAGTATCATCTTGGATTAAGAATGGTTTAGTTGAAACAGAGGAAAACGGAAAAGTTATTATTCAAGAACTCATCAATTCCTTCTTGCTAGAGAATCTTGACAATGGTCGCCATGTCAAAATGCATAAAGAAGCTCTCGTTGTACTTCGTCATTTTAGGCAAAGGGGATTAGGATTGACTGAAACACCAAGGGCTGAAGATTGGTTTTATTTCGAGGAGATGGAGTTGATCAATAACAAATTATCTAAGCTACCAGAGAAACCCGAGTGCTTATTTCTCCAAAAATTGTTGTTACATAACTATGATCTGATGGAAATTCCTCAACTATTCTTTCAAGACATGCCTTGCCTAACACATCTAGATTTGTCTTATACTAGCATAAAGTCTTTGCCACCTTCCATTTCCAATTTGAAATCACTGAAAATTTTCTTTTTGAGAGGTTGTGAACTGCTCATGGAACTGCCGCCCAATATCGGAGCACTTGAGAATCTTGAGCTTTTTGATCTTGAAGGAACTGAAATAATGTATCTGCCCCAGGAAATTGGACAACTAATCAATTTGATACGCTTCAAGGTCTCTTTCTGTCAACATGCAAATCACTGCAAGGAAACTAAACAGATGAACACAACAATCCCTACAGGGGTGTTGTCAAAACTCAATAGATTGCGGGAATTAATCATTGATGTGCATCCAGATGGTGAGTGGTGGGATGCTGATGCGAACGTAATCCTGAATGAACTAAGTAACTTAAAGTCGTTGTTTATCCTTGAGTTGTATCTACCATCAGCTGAATTGTTGCAACAATTGTTGCAACGACTTAGACGGGATAGCACAGAATACTTAACTTATTTTAGATTCACGGTTGGCCGTCATCGACAACGCATCATATCCCGTCTACCCCATGAAGTTGAAGAGATATTCAAGAAAAGAAAGGAAAGGACGAAATGCCTTGAGTATATAAATGGTGAAGGCATACCAACTGAGATTACCGAGGTACTCAACCATGCCAATTTTTTCTTCCTAGACCGCCACTGGACACTGAAGATGCTTTCTGATTTTGGGAATGAAAACATGGTAAACCTCAGATTTTGCTTGCTGGTGGAATGTAATGAACTTCAAACTATTATTGATGGAGATTATGAATATCTGTTGGGTGTGGATAAGAAATCTGTATTCAAAAACCTGAAGTACTTGGGTATTCATTATATGTGGAATTTACAAAGTATTTGGAAAGGTCCAATTGATGAGGGTTGTCTATCCAATTTGAAAGTTTTGGCATTGCATACGTGCCCCAATTTGACTACCATTTTCACACCAGATTTGCTTGGTAATCTGAGGATATTGGAAGAGCTTATAGTTGAAGACTGCTGCAAAATCAAGAGCCTAGTAAGTCAAGAATCTTCAGACCTGAAAAATGGTTATCTTCTCCAATTGTTGAAGAGGATATCACTTCTTGACCTACCAGAATTGGTTAGCATTTCAGATGTTCTAAGTATCAGTCCTATGTTGGAAAGTCTGATTGTTTATAATTGTCCAAAACTTGAAACTCTTTACGCCAACGAATCGCCTTCTAACAAATATTTGAAGATCAAAGGAGATAAGGAGTGGTGGGAATCATTAAAGTGGAGTGAATCAGAGTCAAGCAGCAGTATTCAACCAACTTATGAGGAACTAGGAAGGGGTGAAGATTTGATGGATGAATTAGCTAGAGACATCTATTCACACCAACAGGAGATGTATTTTTTATAGCTAGGTAATGTCTCATACCTTTTTCATTTAAGAAATATAGTGGATAGTTGCTTTTCCTCTAAAAGCATTTATTATACCAAACTAACCAAATTCTCATACTTGCATTGTGATAAGTCTTATTATCACCTCTATTTCAAGTTAAATTGGGATGGATCATCAAATTATGTATACATTTTGAATCTTTTTAGCACCCTTTTGGGTGACATTAGACTGCAATAACAGCACATGCTTAATTAAATAAACAACCCATGCTTAATTCCCTTAGCTAATTGAACCCTCACCCATGTGGTTAGAGCCCGATAACAAATTACTTCCATAGGCAGCAAATGGATCCAATTTTTTTTTTTTTTTCACTAGGCTTACTATTACAAGCATAGTGAATGAATCTAGGGTCACTACACATCTGAAACACGACAATTAGCTAATTAATTTTATTGATTCTGACACTATTTGTCATCTTTGCCATTTGTCCGATGAGTGACAGGTTATGACAGCTTCATGAAGTCCCTTGTGGTAGGAGATTGGGACAATCCAATGGTGTTAAGGAGCTTAAGCTGAGGAATTGTTGCTATTGGTGGCTATAAATAGCAATAAATCATCTTCAAGCAAAACCGATCAGATTAAGCTTCATATATAGCTTGTTGGTTAATTTCTTTCTTGTATTAATTTCTGCTTGTTTTCACGTCGTTGGATACATTGGAATGTAATGCTTTATTTGCTTTAATGTCTTTGATACTATATTTGTTGTAATGTCTTGTTTGGATGCAACAGTGACAATAATTATTGGTAGTGTTGTTTGCTAATAAACTTGTTATTGTTATTTGCCTGAAAGCTATCTATTGTTCAATGTATTTTGGTAGCTAATACATGTCTCTATACATCTGGAGTTTTAGTGCTGCATTCAGCGAAAGTTTATAACTATCTCATTGCATATGACTTCATTCTATTTATTCATTTGAAAATACAATAGCAGCCTAAAATGCAGGTAACCTAAAGGACACTAGTACATGTCTTGGAACTATGTCCTTGAAATTATAAGATTTAGGCAGTAATTACCTGGTACATGTGTAATGAAGGGATTAGTAGTTTGGACGATGTTCTAGAAATTTGAGGTCATTTAAATGTCCAGAAGAGTATGTTATAATTTTATTTTTATAAATCTTTGTAATGAAGTGATTCAATTTTTTTCTGAAAATTTTTTATTTTCAGTGATAACTCCATTTAATAGGGTGACTTTATTAATACTGGAATGCTGAAACTTTTTCAAGTTATTGTGTTCTTTTTCTTTTTCCTTTTTTGCTAGTGGTATTGTCCACATTGCCATCAATCAGCGGTTGGCAGTAGCTTTATTTTTTGTGTACATAAGGATCCTCACATGTAGTAGGGCAACAAATGAGTGTTTTAGAATAGTCTAGATTGTACATATATACACACAATTAATTAGGTTGTCCTAAAGGCATCTCTAACAGTTCACCAAATATTTCATTAAATTTGAGTAAAAAAAGTATGAATTCCTTTATCTAATATCAGTTACTTCACTGGTGAATTTGTAGTTGTCATCAAAACACAGGTCGTCCGGGGGTTGACCGGCAAGAGCAAATGAAAAACAAAAAAATCTGCAACAAAAGTAGTGTACTCCCGGATGAGATTCTCCAAGCCATCAGATTAAGTTGACAAAATGTAACATGTTTTAATCAAGAGAATAAATTGATATGAATGATAGCTTGAGAAGTTTTTGGTGCAGATTGTGATTAGATTGTGAAGATGGTGGCATGACCATTGTGAAAGAGATGGTTCTTTATGAAGTTGATTCAATTATATTGAATTTGTTGTAAGGGTGGATTCAAGAGAGGTTGAAGAAAGGGAAAAAGTGTCTCCAAAGAGCAAAAGAAACTGAGGTATGTTTTTTGATTTGTTTCTGCTAGATTTAGACAACTCCATTAAGTTGCAAGGAAAATTTATAGGAAAATTTTCTTGAGAAAAATGAGTTAAAAGGAAATGTAAGGAAAATAAAAAATAATGATGAAAAATGTTTCCTTCAAAAAAATTGATACACATTTTTTTGCGAGACCAAAACACATGAAAGAAAGGAAAACAATTTTTACAAAGATATGATATTGAAAGTAGTTTTTGAGAGTAACAGAATTGGAATAGAGAGAGAGGCGGCCAACCGGTCAATGTAAATTTTTCACAAATTATGCCCTAAGATAGTCATCCGGGAGGACGTCCGGCCGGTCATCCAGTGAATCTACACTCAACGGTTATGCACAGTAAATTGCTGAAAGATGCAAGATATTCTCAGTTTGATGAAAATTTTAAAATGTTTTCAATTTGATGCAGGTTTGATGAAATCGTTGAAGACCAAAAAAGTATATTTTTTAATTAAATTTAAATTTGATGATAGATTTGATTTAACGTTGGAGATGGCCTAATTCACTAGAACACAATGACTTCAATATGGAAAGTTATGGGTTTAAATTTCAACTGCACAACCAAAATTCAACTCACTTTCTCAGTTGATTCAATCCTTTTCCGGAAAAATATACAAAAGTTAAAGATATAAAATAAATTATATTTCTTTATACCCTAGTGTAGGAATGATGTTAATTGATTAGGAATAAATTTATAAAATTACGTAAAAATTATCATTATATATAAAAGGTGACTTTGTTATTTTTGTAAAATAAAGAGCAAAATATTCTTGTTACCTTCAATCTCATAAAATTAGATTTCAATTACACTCATGAGATTGCTAATCTCCTTAATCTGATGAGACTAATTTAATCCCATAGCAATATTAACAAAACAAACATAATTTTGTAAACCCACATTACTATTAGGCATTATTTGGGAAGTGGATTTGGATGGATTTGGGACTAAAATTTAGTCCCAATAAGACAAAACATCACATCCAATCCATAATCATTACATTCTTTCTCTCACAAAAAAGTCAAAAAAGTTAAAAACCCTTCCCAAATCAGGCTTTTTAACCCCAGACTAAAATAGCTAAAAAAATTAAAAAGTCAAAAAATCAACCCACTTTCTAAAAAGGCCCTTCCAATCCTACCTTTTTATCTCTGAAAACAAACATGACTGGAGAGGCCAATAAAAATTTGTCAAGTCACTGATTTCAAAATACTGAGATTAGTTGTGAACTTCATAGTCTTTAGATTAGTAGAGGTAAATTAACGCAACACCCAATTATCAAAAACAAAACAAAATAAAATGACAGAAACAGCACCCGGAGAAGAAACCAGCAAAGGTATTAAGCAAGTTTTAAAGGTGTAATATAATAAAGTAAAATACGATACAAATTCAAATAATCATCTCAAACAGCATACATTCAATTTCTCAAACGACAAGTAATAGATCCACCAAACATTGTTGACCAATTACTTACAGTTTCTCGTTCTCTATTTTCATTTTTGGAAAACACAAGCAAACTATTTTCAGAATAAAAATTTATGAAAAAAGATTTTTTTTAAATTGTTTTCACAAATAAAAACAATATGAAAATGTAAGATGTTTTCAACTCTTCATTGTATTTGTTTCTAAAATCATGGAAAACGAAAGCAATATACCAAAAAGGTAACCCTAACCATGCTTCTCAGCAGCTAAATCCAACACAATCAAACTGATCCATGAGAAAAAAACCATCACATCACATAAAATGGAACCATGTCTTTTCATTCCTTTATCGTGATGAAGAAATTAGGTATGAGATCTAATCATCTGAGGAACATGTAAATTGACAAAAAAATTTCTCAATATCGGATCAGATAACCGAAGAATAGCATAGCAGAGACCTTAACAGTCTTATTTAAACAAATAGGTAGTATCTAAAGTTCAGGAAAAAGAATTCCAAACTAGCGACGAGTTACCAAACTCTTTCCAACTGCCGCAAAATATAAATGCCTTAATATATGAGGCAAAAGAATCAGGAAGTTGCCTGCTTCAGATATGCTATGAGGTCAGCACGCTCCTGTGGCTTCTTCAGTCCAGGGAAAACCATCTTGGTTCCAGGGATGTACTACACAGAGACAACCATATAGACATTATTAGTTCACAACTTTGATTTGTTTGTCTATCGTACGATGTGAGAGATCAAACAAGTTCCTTGAACATTCAAATCTACAAGTTTCATTCAATCTCAGGTAGATATAGCTATGCAAATTGGGAGCTCAAATCTCACATTTGCAAGAAAAAAAAAAATTTACACATTAAGCACAATTTCAAAGTTATAACTCAAAAATTAAAGTAAAATCCAATATAATGGCTAAAGGGACCATTTGGAAAATACATGTACATTAAAGTGACAAAAATTGGACCATCCACTAAAATAGCAACGTGTCTAAGTAATCAGGGCATGCTACACAGCCATTACTAGCACACATTTGTTAACAGTTAGCTACAAAACCAAAGAAAGAATTGTGCTCATTTTGAGAATTGTGCTCTGTTCCCGACAGAAGGAAAGGTGGAAATGGCATGAAAGATAGATTGCCATTGGGCATTTTGTTAAAGACCAAATAATGTCAAACGGGTTAGAATTTCAATACACAATTCATATATTTCTATACACTTTCTACATATTCGAATCTACTTTTTACACATATACCCCATTAGATGGGGTGGTTAGCATTTCCTTTTTTTGGAATTACTTTTCCTAAAAGAAAATACCCTCAAAAAAACTAGAGTTAAAAGAAACTACAACTAAAAATGGAGAATGATCTCAAAGAGAACCTTTCCCTTTTTTTTCCTTCTCAATTTTCACTCATGTCACATGAAATTTAAAAATGAGGATGAAATTCAAAATTCAATAAAAAGATCCCACAATTTCTTAACTTCCAAACCATCTTATAGACAAAGATAAGAGCACGCCACCATTTTTAACTACTCCAACAAAGTCCTTTTCCCAAAAAGAAAATACATTTTCGCAGGATGCTCTTTTCTTTAGTGGTTTCTCAATAAAAACACATCATCCTCTTTTTCTATCTTACAATATCACCTTGCCTGTTTCAGTACATCTTTTTGCACCTCCATAATTTTATAATTAAAAAGTAGAAAGCCATCATAATCTTCGACAGCTTATTCAACGAAATCTCCATCAAGAATATTCTCCATTTACTACCCCAAAAGTACTTAATATAACTAACAATTTTTTATTAAATTATTCTCCCCCATTGGTACACAAACAACCAAGTTATCTCCAACATCTTCATAACAGGTCCCCATCACCTCCCGAGCAGTCGTTACCTGGAATGATGAAATTTGTCTAAAAAGAAATTGACACTTTAAAAACACACTGGGAAGACCAACACTTCAGAAGTACAATTTCTCTTCCAGGTTAAACCAGGTTAGGCAAACATTTTTTAAAAAATTAGACCACCTTCCAAGTACATGCACAGTTTTCGCATACAACAAAAAATCACACCAGATCAGAACTGTATGGGCCTATTTGATTGGGTGGATTATAGCATAGGATCTACGTTACATACTAGGCATATGACCCAACAAAAGAAGGTGTTCTACATCTTCCCTACCTTACAATAAAAATCCCCAAATAATTGAGAAAGAATTCGTGATATGGCAAGGTAAAGATGCAGTCTAAATTTGAATGCATGCAAAACAAAGGTCCTATGAACTGAAGTGGTATCATTCAAATTCCGAGTTCCACATCTGTGATAAATAACAAAGAATTCAGGGGCTGGTGAAATTAGAAATGCAACAAGCCACCAACAACAATGCATATGAATATTACACGGAGGGAATAAGGTAAAAATTGTTTTTATATACTTTTATTTGCTATTACATTCACAAACAACTCAAAATAGTGAAAACTAACACTAATAATACAACATGGAAAAATAACTCAAATCTATAAGTAAAACATTACTCAATATGAAAAATAAAATTTTATCAATCATAAATCATTACATTAGAGTTGTTTTGTCTTCATCAACATCAAAAATTATGTGTGCTCTACTTGCACGAGCAGAAGAAGACAGGTTTTTCAATAATCATTTCAATTTTAAATTAGCAATTTCAACAATCATACACTAATTTAAAACGACAATTCAACAATTTCAACAATCAAACACAAATTCAAAAATTAAGGAAGAGTTTAATGAATAAGGGAGAGAAAATATACAGTGATAACACCGACAACACGTCTACATAGTGATGATTATGAATTTAAAACCATATTAGAATAGCTCATAGTAAGATAACTGTGCCTTGGAGTGTGTCCAGAGGCAAGGCATGCATGTCGTCCATGACACACCATGTGACATGACCAATGCATATCCTGGCAAGCCGGTGTCATATCCGACACGGCTATGGCAACTAAGTTAAAGTGTCCGTTCTTCATAAGTGCTAGATGATGTACACATCACAGGCTCCAAAATTACTATATCCATGGTCAAGCAACATAACCAAGAATATAAGAAATAGAGGTTATGGTGTCCCAAGACTACAAATTTCTCATAAATAATTCTACAAAAATTACAGAATCAGCCAATTACGAGGGAAACAAGCACAGTCTCGTACCTTCTTTGGGTTAAGCAAGTAATCATACAGTGTTTTCTCTTCCCAATTAACAGCCATGCTCTTGTTAGCATTAGAGTATGAATACCCAGGAGTGGTGCCAGACTGCCTTCCGAAAAGGCCATTCAAATTTGGTCCTGGATGTTTCAAAGGAACCAGGAAATAAACCTCAAAAGTCGCAACAGAAGAACAAAAAAATAGGCAAAGGGAAGACAAAAACATCAGCGATTCATATCAAACTAGGGAACTTAGTATCTTTATGAAAACTAAACTTTAACTTCGCAACACTAAGATTTTTTGAATTATCAAAAGAAATACTAGTGACAAGTTATGATGTTGTTTGTTATCAAACTCATTTAAAATCATAAAGTAGATAACATAAAGAAGCATTCCTTTGAAAAAAGTTCACTATAATAAATAAAATAAAATTCCCTTGAACAACTAAAACATCATACTAAATTTTATAGAAGGTAATGGTTTTTCCATTGTGAATTTGGTCAAACCCGAACATAACGTATTCAATAAAGACCGAAAAATGGGACACAATCGAACGAAGGCACCAAGTTATGGTGTATTAAGCATATAATCAACTTTACAATCAGGGTAATCTTGCATCAAACCTAATTTCATAAAAATATCCACTAAATTAACGCATTGATTTGATAATAGACATAGTAATGGACAATTTTATGAAATTTACCACAAAAAATATATATATCATTCATATGAAATTGTTTGGAAAAAGCTAACCGCCCATTTGGTTGCATGAATACAATCACTTCATTTCGATTTGAAGTTAAGCCAATTCAAGTTTTTTTGTAGGCGTGACAAATCTACATGGCCAAGCTTTAAAAGAAATGAACAAATCTAAACTTTCAATAAGAAAAAGGGTAAATTTCCTAAATTCTTTAGTTGTATCATTTGACAACCAAACACATATATTTAGCTTACATGAATAGGCCAATTCTAAACTTGCCCAATTCATATTTTCAAACCAACCAAACAGGCCCAAATTGTATTGTTAGATAATGCCAGAAAGTAGGAAATATAATTCGAGTTTTTTATCCCTTTTTCGATAAGTTGCGAAGTTCGGTATTAATATTATTAATCATAAGAATCTTAAACACCCATGAAAACAATAAGCAATAACACTGTCGATCCATAACTAAACCAGCCGTATATCACAATTCTAGATCAATTAATAAGGTGTTCATAGAAAATCTAAATAAATAAGAAGTTAATTGATACTAAATATGCATGATCTAGATCAGGCAACACAATCATCAAATCAAAAAGAAAAAGAAAAAAAAGCATATATATATATATATACACACATACATACATAACATAAAGCAGCTATTTGATTCATATATATACACATACATAACAGAAACATCAAATGAAAGAATCAATGAAAGCACGAGATTAGAGATAAAATCGAACCTTGTTTGTGGCCAGCGCCTTTTTCGACGGTGTGGCACTGAGCGCACTTGGTCCTGAAGATCTTCTCTCCAGATTTGGAGTCGCCAGGAGGAGCTTGATCGAAAGACGCCATTGTCGACGCAGAAGCAAGAGAGAGAAAGTAGAGCACTCTCGATTCAAATTCGAAGATGATTTGCTAGGGTTTCTTCAACAACGCGGAAGAAGGAGATTGATGAGAACTTTCAAGGGTTTGCTGTTGTCTATAGAGAGAGACGCGTGCCTTTTTGACGCCCGTTGCGATTGAAATGACAAAAATGCCCTCACTCTCTTTGGTTAATTACTTTTTGACCAGTTTTGCTTTAGCATCTCCAATGGTTCATTACTTTTTTTTATTAAATCTGAGTAAAAAATGATTGATTTTCTCAATCTGATATGGCTAGCTCCAACCGTGTGCACCAAAAGGGAAGGGGTCGTCTGATTGACCGATCGGCTAGTCGACCGATAAGGCTTATGAATTTTATTTTATTTTTTCCTCCTGATTACTCCTGTCAAAACATTTCCTCATGATACGGCTAGCTCTAACTTCTTTTTTTTTGTTTTTTTTTCTCTAAGATGTTTTGGTTCTATGTTGTAAAGAAGCAAATTATTCTCTGAATCACAAAGTAACAGAGACAGATAACAAAAAATGAACTTTATCTGGGTTCTTTATGCCAAGTTTTGGACAGCCCAAATTCAGAACCATGGCAATTTTGGATGATTATGTTGAAAAATGAAAACTATGACACAATGTCTGGTTTGTGTCCAGAGAATGGAAAGAAAAAGCTCAGGGTCATCCGGGGGGTCAACCCTGGGGTCGTCTGGTTGGTCGACCTCCTAGTGTAAAATCTATCCAAAATTTTGTGAAAATTGGTCATCCGATTGGTCATTCAGTGGGTCATCCAGTTGGTCATCCGGCAGTGAAAATACAACGGTAATAAAAAGTGTTTTGGTGAAAGACCTAGCGCATTCTCATTTTGGTGAAACTTTTGGTGAATTCTCATTTTGATATCAATTTGGTGAAACCATTGGATTGAGAAAAAATGAGTTTTTCATCAAATTTCAAATCTGATACAGGGTTTGATGCATCGTTGGAAATGGCCTTAGTTATTCGCGTTTGGTATGTTAAAAGAGTGTACTCGCCTTGTTAAAGGAACGCGTGTGTCGTTGTTGTAAATTGGGATGCATTAGAGCATCTCCAACGGTTTAGTAAAATTTTCATTAAATCTGAGTAAAAAAAAAGGTAATTTTCTCAATTTGATATGAGCAACTCCAACTGTTCACTAGCGTGCATCAAAACGAATGGGACGTCCGGTGGGGCGACTGGCCAGTCGACCGAGTAGGCAACTCAAAATTTTTTTTCCCCTCCCTTTCTGTTCCCAATTCGTTTATTTTTTCTTTTTTCCTCCATTACATATTTTTCATTTTTGGTTGTCTCCATTAATGATTTCCTTCAAAACCTGATATAAACACATTATCCATGTACCATATACCAGTACCCACTTCCAACCATCACTGAAAAATCCATTGGAATTCACATAGAAACTGCAAACAAATGAAACAGAACAAACCCAAAAGAAAATTGCAAATAACAAATAGCACAAGAAATCCACTAGAATCATGGGTTTGATTAGAAATTTGAATCCTCCAACAAACATACATATATTTGAACACAAACAAGAGACAAAGATATGGGTGGTGAACTAGATCAGTGAGAAGATAGTAAAGAGTCTGGCCTAGGTTTTTTTTCAGCTATAACAGGTAAGAGAGAGAGAGAGTGTGTGAGAGATGATGATGATAACGATGATAGAGATGGGTATGAGATCGAAGAGAGAAAGAGAGGGTAAAGTAGTGGTTTGATTAGAAAGTGGACCCAAGAAGTTACCTAATACAAACCAGTTATGTTTGAAGCAGATTGAAGCAGCGCCGGTCGACCGGTGGGTCAACCGGCCAAACGTTCGGCCGGTTGACCAGTGGGTCCCACTACCAACATAAATGCATAGTGAAATGGTGAAATCTCACGTAGGTTCTCAGTTTGGTGAAACTTTTGCTCCGTTTTCAGTTTGATATCAATTTGGTGAAACCATTGGAGAGAAAAAAAAGTGGTTTTTCTCATCAAATTCAAATTTGATGCCAAATCTAATGCAACGTTAGAGATGGTCTAAGACCATCTCCATCCGTTCACCAAATCCATCATCAAATTCAAATTTAGAAAAAAAGTGATACTTTTTGTGCTCCAACAGTTTCACCAAAACAGTATCAAATTGAGAACACCCCAAACTTTTCACCAAACTGAAGATCTCTTGCTCCTTTTAGCAATTTACTGTGTATAGCCGTTAACTGAGGACCCACCAGATGACCAGCCGGATGTCCTACCGGTTGACTACCCAGTCGACCACCCGGTCGACCACCTTTGTATCTTTTTTTTGAGGAAACAAACTCAGTAAGGAAATCTAAAAGATGAGAATCCAAACCAAATCAAACCAAACAAATACCACAAAACCCAACAATGGCTGTTCCCAAAACCTTTCAGGAACAGTAAATATGACCACAAATGGCATTAATGTCATTGCCTTCCTGTCGGCACGAAAAAGATTGAATTGTTAACCATGTGCTGTAAGAAATTTAACCGTCTTCCTATTTTCAGTGCTGAATTGTTAACCATATCTAATATGTTCTCTATTTCTTTTACAGCTTGATGGGTTTATCATCCTTCTATTACAAGGAAATATCCTAAAGCTTGTCAAGTTTTCATTGCTTACTTCTGTGTGTGTGTGTGTGTGTGTGTGTATGAGAATGAATGTGCACGTATGTCAAAGGGTAATTCATAAGCCTTATAAATCTTTTTGCTACCCATGGCTGTCGATGAAGCTTGGGGAGTTGTGGTGGAAGCGTAGCTAACAAATATTATGGTGGTGTAAACTACTTCTGTGTGTGTGTGTGTGTGTATGTGAATGAGAATGAATGTGCACGTATGTCAAAGGGTAATTAAAGATGCAAGAATAGATTCTAATCCAAAAAAAAAAAATTTGGTGTTTTCACTCAACCCCTTGGCATGAAGAAGATTGGAAATTATTGCATTAATTTTCCAAAAGTGTGAGTGAAAATTATTGATTCAACTCTTTTTTTATCTGGTTTTGATTTCTATTCCAATTCTTAAAACAGACAGAGTAGTGACAAGCAGAGATGAATAAAACTTGAAAGATACGAAAACAATTCTGAAAACAACGTCAAGGGGTTTTGATTAGGATTTAAATGCCAAAGATGTTTCCAACCAAGAATCATGAAAATTTGAAATCGGGTGATGTTCTTGAGTGTAGAAAAAAAAAAATTCATTTGCCTTGTCCGATCGACTGGCCTGTCGTCCAGCCGAACATCCCTCATCTTTTGATGAAAGCTACAGTGCTACCGTTAGAACTGCTCATATCAAATTGAGAAACTTGCCTTTTTTTTTACTCAAATTTGATGAAAAATTTGCTGAAAAGAAACCGTTGGAGATGCTCTTAAGGCATGTTTGGTATGATAACTACAAATAATTGAATAAAACTGAAAATATATGCCTGCGCAAAAAGTGCTTAAATTTTAGGATAAATTACAAATACACCCCTTGAGGTTTGCTTAAAATACAGAGCGTGTCTTGTGGTTTGAAAAATTACAAATGCCCCTTTGTTAGAATTTTTTATTTAACAGAATTAACTAAAAAAATAAAATTCATAATTGCTCTCCTATATAACAATAAAATTATCTAAATTATTAATTGAAACATATTTCTAACAACACTAAAAACTGTTAATTGACTTAATGATTTATTAATACAAGGGTTGATTTGTTATGAAATTAGAAACCTCAGAGGTGGAATGTAATTTTCAAAACTACAGAAAGCGATTCGTATTTTAATTAAATCTCAGGATGTGTATTTATAATTTATCCTAAATTGTATAAGTCCTATTCACTGTGTTTAGTTTTAATTTTTTAAATTCAATTTTTTAAAAATTAAGTTTTTTATTTTTTATATTTTTTTATTTTTAGTGAATATTTTTATTTTTAAAATTTTAAGTAATTTTTTTATTTTTTTAGATACACCTTATTTACATACATCTAAAAATAAATTATTTGTAAAAAAATATTTTAAAATTTTGATAAATATATAAGAATACTAAAATGTACTAAATTATCATTTTTTTTAATATATTTTTTTGGTATATAGTGAATTTTTTAAATATTTTTTCACAAATATTATACCTTTTATGTTAGGTGTATCAAAAAATTTAAAAATTTAGTTAAAATATTAAAAAAGTCAGCAAAAAATTAAAAAAAATATGAAAAATAGAAAATTTAATTTTTTGAAGAGTAAATCCTAAAACTAAATTTGAACCCAAGTAATGTACATTTTTTTATTTAAAAATAACTTTTGAAAAAAGTTAAATTACAATGAAGTTAGCTAATTACAAAATTTAAATTAACAGAGCTAATTAAAAAAATTGAAGGAGCTTTAAAAAAGCAAGGAAACCTAATATGTTACTTATTATTTGGTGTAATTATTAGTAAAATTAATAATTAATAATTAAAAAATCAAAATCAAAAGAACACAATTTACTTAAACAAGTGATATGAATTAAAATATATGTATTCTTTTTTTTTTAAACTAGCTCACATAGCTAGAACTATAAGTCGAACGATCAAAACACACTGATCAAACCCACAATCAATCATCGAAATTTTTTTTTATAATAATAATAATAATAATAATAATAATAATAATAATAATAGAATAATAATAATAATAAGGGGATTTTTTTTTAAGGTCCTTGGTATTAAGATTTTATAGCATAAAGAACATCAAATATTTTCATAATGTCTAAGGTCCCTCACACATTGATTCAGAGAAATTTCAATCCAGAGAAATTCTCTGAACTTTCCAGAGAAATTCTCTCCAAATTTCTCTGGAGTTTCAACTCTCCAGAGAAATTCTTTCCAAATTTCTCTGGACTTTCTCTGGATTTCCCTTGCCCATTTTATTGTCAATAAGTAATATTTTGATAAATTTTGAAAAACTAGAACCTGCTTTTGCACTTGCCAAGCTTAACATGTAAGTTTAAAATTGAATAGCTCATCACGATATGACAGAGGGAGCTGCCAATGATAATCAACCACATATAAAAGACAAATATATACGCAAAAAAATTAGATATGAAAAAGCCTTGGGTTAGCTAGAAACCTATTCTTTAC